TCATTTTCACCCTTTCTTAAATGTTTCCTCAGTGGCACCAGTTGGTTCAGTGATGGGCTCAGCCACATCTGTGGTGGGACATGAGGAGCAGGCTGGAAAGGGCCTGGGGTAGCCCTGACCTCTTCCAGTAGAAACTCTGTTGGAACCTGACATTAATTAGTGATTCTTAATTACTTTTTTTTTTTCTTCTTTTTCTTTTTTTTTTTTTTTTTGGTCTTAGATTGTAACCTGTTCTTCAGGACCTTTTCTGCTTTGTTTTTAAGGCACAGCTGGAAAGCCCAGTGAATCCCAAACTTATTCAGAGGCTGTGGGTGGTGGTGTGTCCTGTTTGCTTGTGGGTGGGTGGGTTGTTTTTAGATGTTCCTCAGGAATCTGTTCTGGTGCAAGTTTGCAGATGTAATGAGGCACTTTGTTCCAAAATGTGCTGTGAAAAATAGTTTGAACTTGTTTCTGCATGAAATCTGTCCTGAAGTTGGGGATACTTGGATAGCTCTTTCCCTAAGTGCAGAGCAGACTTTTCTGTAAACTGCTGACCTGTAAATTGGGGATTTCTGAGTTCAGCATTTTTGCACTGTCCTTGCAAGGTGGAAGATGGTTCTGTGTGAAAATGTGACATTGGGGCACCAGCAGTGCCCTACTTCAGACAAAAGTTTGAAAAGATTTAAGGTTTTGTGACAATTCATGAGACCTTGATACTAAAAACAGTGGAAAATGCTTTAATGTGAGAACAGAGTGTATTCAGGAATATGATAAGAAAAACTTGGGCATTTTGAATGACAGAAATCATGGAATCATAGAATGTTAAAGGGTTGGAAGGGACCTTAATGATAATCTCATGCCAAGCTCCTGCCATGTGCAGGAACTCCCACTTGACCAAGTTGCTTAAGGCCTTATCCAACCTATCCAAATATTTGCAAGTAATGGCACAGTTACTTCTTAAAGCTCTTTTTTTGGTACTATTATATTTAATCTAGTGTTTGTGCTGCTGAGTAAGGTTTGCTGAATTTGGATTTGGAGAGACCCTTAGGAAAAATCTGGACACTTTAGAGATGCCTGATGGATTTTGGAACCTCTCAGCCCTGCAGTGGACTGGAATGAATCCATGTGGAGGAAACTGCATGTTCTGCTTTGAGTCTTTTGTGTGGGTTTGATTTGCTTGGGGTTTTTTGGGGAGTGGTTTTTTTGGGGGGTCTTTTGTGCCTCTGTCTCTGCTGAAAAAGTATCCACAGTGGTATAGGACAGAGAAATGCACATAATAATCTTTTGGTTAAAAGGTAAAATTCTACATAAGTAAATAAATTACCTCTTGTTCTGCTACACTGTGTAGGTCTGGACCTGTGGTCAGGGAATATGGGGGGGTCTCAGAAAGGAGAATTGGCAACCCAAGGGCTGGTTCAAACCAAGTGAGAGCCACAGAAACCTGGGAAAGCCATATTTTGGTCAGTGAATTGAGTTTTAAAGCTGATGAAATTAGTGCTTAGCATTGAGTCACCTGTGTGGGGTTTTCCTTGTTGGCAGAGTTCTAAAGAAGGAACTGTATTTATTTATTTGATGGATATTTAGAAATCAGCTTTAGGTTTTTTCTGCTGTTTTAGAAGCCGTTTCATACCCCACGGAGAGATGTGCAGGATCAATTATTCCTGTGCATTTTGTGCCATGGTTTAGAGGGCCTTCTTCCCTGTGTGGGGTCCTGTGTGAGATTTTTGCTGTCCTGGTGACATTTTACTTTGTTACTATTTACCAATCACATGTCCAGTCCTATGCTGGAGTACACAGATGCAGAGATACACAAAGATACACTTTTGCAACTGAGTTTATTTCTGTTGTATTACAAGATCTGCCCTGAAACAGGAGAAGGAAACTTTAGGAATTAAAATGGGTCACTAACAAACTGTTCCTGGTGAATGGTGAGGAATTTCTGTCGGGCAGGGCATGTGATGGTCACTTTATGAGCTGTCACAACAAAAACAAATCCACCCTCTGCATGCCAGAGTGAGTCAAGTGCACCTCTCCAGCCTGGATCCCTGCTACCACAGGCAAAACAGGCTGATCAAATGATTGTTTAGGTTATAATAATAACAATCAGGATTTTTCAAAGCAAGCTTATGTTGTGTTCTTGAAAAAATGGGATTCTTGCTGGTTTTGACTGGCTTTCTCTAAAGTGGGACAGGTTGTCTCTGTCCTGGTGTTCAGGCTGATCTTTCACAGAGCCAGTCTGGGTTTCTGCCTCTGGTGTTTGTCCTGAAACTCCCTTTTCACGTCAGTTCTGCATCTTGCAGCCCTCTCTACCCATCTTTGCATGTGCAGGAGCAATCCAGCGAGACCTCAGCCTCCCAAAACCAGGGCACCACGTCTCCAGAGCTCTGGGAGTGCTGCTCTGCTATATTTGGAACCAGCTCTATTGCTTCTATAGCAGGAAAGCTTCTGGAAGCTTTCTCCTTCCTCTCCCCCCCAAGAAAGTGGCCTTTGAGCTGAGCTTTCATGAATTCACAATCTGCATGGCAAAGCAGATGGACTTTTAGAGGCTGAATAATTCAGATGTGGCTCGTGGGTCATGTGGGGGTGTTCAGGGTGGGTTTTTGCCTGTGCCCCATGAGCTGAGGGTGCAGCAGCCACAGCCACACTCACAGGGGCTCTGCCACCCCCACTTTGTCATTCAGGGCACGTGACAGTGCCAGGGGGTGCCAAGGCAGCTTTCTAGAAAGCAGAATGATGTGTGAGCCCCGTGTGTTTGCCACCAGAGCTGCAGCAGCACTGCCCAGGGAGGGATTGAGTGGTTTTGTTTTCCTCTTGGATCAAGCAGAACAAATCTAATGAGCCAGTTCTTAACTTCTTCCCAGCTGAGCAGCGAGTGATGTCCTTACCCAGATTGTGCAAGGCAGCTGAAGCCTTTCAGGAATAGCTGAACAAGGGAAACACTTGTAATATTATTTTTCCCAATACTCATGCAGGGCTAAGAGGGTGCAGCAGAGCTTGTCTTTATTTTCTTTTTCCCTTTCTGAGATTTTCCTTTTGAGGGGACGACTTAGTCCTTCCAGCTCTTACCCCACCTAGTGAGGAAGCATGTGAGCCACAAATGTGGAGCCTTTCATTCTTTCCTGACGTGATCTTGGAAGGAAAACAGGTTCTCCCTGTAGTGCTTCATTGGAATAAGCATTTCACATGCTTATCAGTACAGCAAGGAGAGCTGTTCGACAGCAGTGAGGAGTCAGATGTTGCCTTGGAGCCTTACATGCTCATTTCCCTGCTTCTGAAACACTCTGCACTTTGCCCACTGTGCATTCAGAAGTGTTCCTGTCCACTAAAAGGACATAAAAAACACACATTTTCCAGCATGATTTCAGGTGTGGATTGAGTTTCTGAGGGCCTTGTCCTGCTGGGCTTTCTGGGTTCCTGCCAGGTCAGGGGTAGGTGGGTTCAGGGAGCAATTTGGGGTAATTCTGTCCTGGTCCAGCTCCTTGGGAGGCTTCAGGTGAGAAATCAGACAGGGGAAGGTGTGAAAGAATAAACAGGCTCAGCTCCTGGAGTCTTTCCTCACAAGAGAGGTGCTCCAGAGCCCTCATTGTCTTTGTGGCCTCTGCTTACAGGGGAATCTTCAGTTTTCATTTGAATTGCTGCTCTGTCTGGTGGGATCCAAGGGTGGGAGCTTGGAGGAGCTTTGGGAAGGAAGGGCTGGAGTGAATTTGGTGAGGAAATGAGCACAGGGCAATGGTAACCAGCTCCTGCTTTGGCAGCTCTGGTTCCTGGTGCTTGGCAGAAGTGCCATCAGCTGGTGTTGGTGTGGGAGAAGGCACAGGAAACTCCCCCACACTAATTCCAGCTGGAGCCCCTGTGGCACTTTCATTGCCCTTAGATCAGATAATGCCAGATCTGATGGACCAGCAAACAGAGGGGAGAAGCTGAGCACACAAAGTTTCACAAGGCACACGATGCCTGTGATGGCTCCTTTGGGGTTCAAAGGCAGTTCTTCAGGTGTTTTAATTATGTAGATATTGCCTGAAGAATGGTTAAAAGCAATGGTTGGGGTTTGAGAGGCTGAGGACCTGGTGTGTCAATCCCCTCATGTCACACCTGGCCTGGGAGCTGCTCTGGATCCTTCCCAGTGGGAATGTTGGGATGGGGGAAGACTTTGTGGCAAAGCCTCTTGCTTAGGAGAGTCTGGTGCTGTTGGAGGGGTCCTGAGGGATGACTTGGCTGGGGGATGGCAGAATTGCATGTCTGGTGAATTACTCTTTTGGAGACAAGGATCATATAACAACTGAAGATTGAGCTCTGGGTGGCAGAGTGGACATGGAACTGGTTCTTGCAAGAAAACAAATACCCTTATCTTATTATAAAGCCTCAGCACTGCCTTTTCCCGCCCTAATGACTGTTTTTGTTATTAACTCCTCTGAGTTCTGCTCTGAATCACTTGCTGCTGCTTCCTTGTGCATCCTGAGTGTGCTGATGCTCTTTGCCCAGCTGATCCAGAGTGACATCCCCATGGAACATCCCAAAGCTTGCCCTGCATGGAGGTGGGGTGGTCAGATGGGTTTTTACCCACAGGGTGATTGTTGCTCCGCTCCAGCCCCGAGGCCAGGGCCTCCTTTCAAGAAAGTAAATTTTCTGAGAGGATGTGCCCACCCTTTGAACTGCTTTGTTGATCAGTTACTGTTGCTACAGCTAAAACACACTTGCACTAAGCAAAATATCAGAAGCTGTGGTGAATTGCTACACAGATGGGGAGACCTTGAGTGCAGCCTGGTTGAGTTGATACATTTGTTTTTCTAGGCTGCAGCAGCGCTCAGACCTGGTGATAAGAGAGGGAATTTTGCGGGCCCGTTCCCTGGGCTCGGTCTGTGGCTGAGAGGATGTGTTGCTTTCTGCTGCCAAAAGCAGAGTCCTTCCCACATCTTGTGCAGAAAGGCATATGTTTGGGGGTGGTTTCAGAGAGGGAGAAGAACACCATTAGGGTTTTAACTTCCTCTTCTGTTTTGTTTCTCTGTGCATCTGTATTGCAGTTTTTTGGGCTGTACCTGACTCTGTGCAAAACTTAAATCGGCTGCAGCTCCTTCTGCTAAGGATCAGCCTTGGTACAGAAACAGTGGTAGTTAAAAGGCAGTAAGTATATCTGCTAGCTTAAATGCTGGGGTTTTTTTTTCTCTTTTCCTTTTTTTTTTAATTCACAAGCACAGCTTTTTACTCTTCACACAGTAGGAATTTGTCAGGAGCTTGCTGGCATTAATAGTCTATTTCAGCTCTTTTCTATAGCCCAGCAGCTACAGAGGGGGGGAAAAAGCATGCTTTGTATGGAGCTGTGGTTGGGTCTGTGCTGCAGTGCCCATCTGAACTTGGCTGTGTCTATTTTGTCAGCTTTTGCTTCCCTCTAGTAGTTGCTGGTCCCTTCCTAAACTCACGAAATCCCACCATACAATGCCTGTGCTTGGATCAGGGTTCTGCCTGCTCCTGACCTGAACCAACTCTCTTGATGGTTTTGCTTCTCGAGCTCTTTACTGCAAACAAGATATCTTTGAGTTTCAATTCTTTGTCTGGCTTTTTACTTCTCAATTGATCTCCAGAGGAGTAGGACTAGGACAAAACATGTGGTATTCTTGACCAGGGATCCATGGAGAGGGTGTAAGCTGTTGGAAGAGTGAGTGGCATTCTTGCAATGGTGTGGTTGTGTTTATTTGGGTGTGGATAGAATCATGCTTCTGTGATACAGTTCCTGCTGAGTTTGAAATGCTAGTGTTAGTAAAGCCAGAAGGAGAGCCAGACAAAAGCTTGGAGAAAAGTCAGAATTTCAGTGCCTTTTAGTGATGGTTCATGGGAAAGTAATGATTTTGTGTTTGATTTTCCTAAAGCACCGGGCATATGCTTTTTACTCCTCTGTGAATTACTGTTTGTGAATGTGTGTCTTTACAAAATGAGAACATCAGAAACACCTGGTTTTGTGCCTAGGTTTCACTCATAGAGGTAGGTCCTTGTTAGAGACTCTGGGTAGTCTGATGAAAACGGTGTTTAGCTACAAAGCTTCAATTTCTGCTGTTGCTGATCGTGGCAGCCTCATTGCTGCTCTCCCTGAATCCCTGGAGCAGAGGACATGCTCTCCTCCTCCTGCTCTCCTCCATCTCCTCCACCCCACACCCTTCTTAGCCTTGTGTAGAGCTCAGCAGAGATTTCTTCATGAAGACTGGAATGTGTTTATATAACATTTTATATATTATTTTAGGCTCCTGCTACTCAAGCGTAGGCAAACTCTTAACCTCTTATTCGCCATCATTAAACGAACCGTGGAATTGCTGTGGCAGACACCAAGTCAGGTGGATCTAAACCAGCTTCTGTTTTTCCTGCCTGGAAGGTTCATCCTTCATCATTTTCCTGGCAAGTGTGGCTACCTAGAGCAGGTTTTCCAGGCCAGGAGTGTTAAGTGGGAGCATTGATTGTGAACCACACTGGTGAAACAGTGCTGGGCTGGGCATAGTGGGGGCTCTTCTGTGTGGGAGGCATTGGGAAGGGGGTGATGTGAGAGGCTCAATCTCTGCAAAAGCAGGGCTAGGACAGCAGTAGGAACGCTGGGCAGAGCTGCTGAAAAGGAGAGAACAACCTGCTGCACTAAATCACATCTCCCTGGGGACACAGCTCCATAGTTAGCATCCTCAAATGGCATTCCTTCATTACGGCATCATTGTGCACAGGCCTCTAGAGAGGAAGCAAACGGTCTCTCAAACAATCTGCTGGCAGCTCAGGCTGGAGTATTTGAGGTTTTCCAGGGCTCTTTTGCTGTGTCACTCTTCCCTTTAATGTTCCAGCTCGAAGGTTGTTGTTGTTTCTCCATCAAAGTGCGTTAACGCGCCGGTAAGGGTGTCTGCTCCAAGGACAAGGTGGAGAAGGCAGCAGCCCAGGGAGAACAAGAGATACTGCAGAACAGCTTTGTTCTGGTGTAATCTGCCTTATCTGCATGTGATGCAAAGACAGGGCAGTTTTCACAAGACTTGGAGGCTGCGTGGTGACATGTTTTCTGTCCTTTTATAAAATCCACCACGTTATTTTGATTAGAGCGCTAACGTAACTCCTGGCAGCCTCAAATCTCACTGCTAGCAGCTCCTTCCCTCCAAAGCCTGATGTGGTGCTAACAAGCAGAGAGATCTTGTGCGTCCTGTTTACATGGAGCTGGGAAGACAGCGTGTTCCGTGGGAGGTGCCAAGGTAGAGCTGCAGTTGAATAAAAGGTGAAAAAACTCCTGTGTGTGCAGACAGGCTGTGGTGGGGCGTGCCCATTTGTGTTCGGTGGTGTTCAGGAACTCCAGCTGCAACACTTGGTATGATGATGTTGTTTTAAATCTGAATATGTATCTTTTATATCTGTGCATGCGTAGCATGTTTGTGTTTGTATATATTTATATTTATATCTGTTCTCTCTCGTGGGAAAATCCATGTCCTGATCATCTGCTGTTGTCACCTCCTCACGCAGCTCTCTGTTGTTCAGTTTGTAGGTGGCACAGACACGGTGAAGCTGAGTGTGGGGCAGGCAGAGCTGATGGGGGAGCCTGGGGTGTAGCCCAGGATGGACTGGCTGTGACGAGGACGTGCCTTAGCCTGGAGAGGGCGTTACCATGAAGAGTTCCTGCAGAGCTGGCCTCCACAGGGAACCGCTGAATTCCACATCCTCCACCTTCCATCAGGTCAAACGGTACGGACACACTGCCTGCAGCTCAGCCTCAGCACTGGGTTTAGCCTTCTCCTTGTCCTCTCCCATTGTCTTCTGCTGTCACTCCAATATTTGCACGAAATTCTGACTTTCAGGTGGTGTTTAAGTTGTAATGGCTTAAGGGCAGAAATGTTCTTTGACGTTTTTATTTGATCATGACAACTACAGATTCACTGCAGCTGGTAGGGTACTTGCAGAAATCCTTGGGTTTTCTAGCAACAGCTGTAAATTAGTTTGGGAAACGTGGCTTTGAAGTAAAACTTAATTGGTGAAAGGCTCATCAGAGTAGGCTTTAAAACAGGCAGGCAGCTTAAAGCAAGTGGAAATGCTGGCAGTCATTGTTGTGGTTTGTCTTACTATGGACTAAGTAATTAGATTAGTTTGAGCTCACATTTTGCATTGCTCACTCTCCTGTGTCTCTTATTAAGGAGAAATGCACGATTGGTTTCAAACACTTGTGCTTATGTGACAATTAAGTGAACGCCTCTCACTGTGTCTCCTTATAGGAACACCATGCAGAACAACTTGTCCTCATGCAAATGCAAGGACATGCCAGTTTGTTGGAGTTCAAACTACTGCAAAATAAATGTGTTTTTTTTTTTTTTTAATTCTTTTTCTGAAACCAAGGCTCTTAAACTTCCTCAGTCTGGAGGAAGAGCGCCAGCTTTTTGGTTTCCAAAGGCTGTGTGGGTTTAAAGCAAACTTTTAACCTTTGTTCTTTGTGGTTGTGTAGACAGCATATACTTGCTGTGTTAGTCTCATGGTAATTTAGTGCTGGAAAAGACTTCCTGGGTCACCCAGCTCCTTGCTTTCCCAAGCAGCATCTCATAATCCCTTTTGTGAACTTAGTCCAGCCTAAAAACATTTACATCTTTTCTTGCATCTTTTCTTCTCTCCTCCTGTAGATCAAGCCATTACTGAAGATGACAGATCTTGCTGTGCAATTAGGAACCTTCTTTTCATTCCCAGGCTGAACATTCATGACAGTTTATAGACTCATTTGAGTTTCTGTTCCTTTATTTCCCTTCTGCCTAAGGACTGCTGCTCATTTTCAGTGGTTTGCCTCTTCTTCTGTGTTCTGTAAGAGGGAGATGTAACCCTCACCTGTGGTTTTCCTGAGTGAGCCAAGTGTTCTTTAGCAGCTTCCTGAGTAGCAATTGCTGCTGTTCTCAGGGAGATGCCCCTCACAGAATATTCTCAGTCCTGGCTAAAAGTGTGTGCTGTGCTCTGGCCTGCTCTGCCTGGAGGGCTTCTTCATCACCTCCACTTCTTATTTCATGGATGTCTCTGTGGTGGCCAGTTCACTTCAGTTACTTCCAAAATTTGTTGGTGTCTCTCTTGCTGATGCATCACTGCTTGCATTTCAAAACCTCCTCAGTTTCTGTTACTCTGAGCTTTGCTGTTTTGGAGCTGCCTCTGTTTCTGTGGGTGCAGAATTAGTGCTGAGGACATTTTTAACAAAGTCAGATGTTCCCAGAGCTGATTCTTGAGGCATGTCTTTGGTTTCCAGGCTGGTATTTTCTTATTCAGCATCACCTGGGGCTGTCTCCTGCTAAGCCAGCTCCTTTGTCTGTTTTCCCATTCCTCTGCCAATCTGTCTTAGCCAGTAAATCTCTTTGTGCTCTCTGAAGTCCATGTGAGGAAGATATAGTAGATTGCTCTAAAAAGATGGCTTTTTTGAGAACCTTGAGGTTAGTCTGGCATATTGAACTATTCCCTCTTCCCCCTTTTTCTGTGTGTCACATTAATCCTCTTTGCTTGCAAAGCACCTTTATGTTGGAGTCAGAATAGGAGCCCTGGAGAGGCTGTGATCATTCTCCTTCTCTTTCTCCCCTGCAGTGCCCCCTCCAATGTGCCACATGTTTATTATCTCCTATTGTTGCCTTTCAAGAGGTTTATAAATCCTGTTTCTTGGCCTGCAGTGCATGAGCCTATCTGGTTTGGATTCTGAAACTGGGATGAGCCAATCCTCACAATTTTTATGAAGCTCTCTAATCCTCCTCCTGCCAATGCTCTTGTTCAGATTAACGCCTGGGCTTTTGCCCTCATCATCACCCTTACCTCCCCTCTTTAAAAATGGTGCAAAGTCAAATTTGGTATTTTGTCTTGTACTCTTGATCTCTTGTCCTGCCCTAGCTTGCAACCCCGTTTCTCTTTTCTCTCACAAACTGAAAAAACCTTTCAGTTTTTCTTTGTTGTTAAATATCTCTGCAGTGACTTAACACTGCACCAGTTCTCATGTTTATTCCTGGACTTTTTGGTCTCTAAGATAGAAGTTTCCAAGTGATGTGACCTGAAACCTGTGTCTGTTTCTGGTATCCTTCACAAAAAAGGATCAAATCCAGTTGGAGCTGCTTTGAATCTTTTGTTTGGGATGTGTTCTTAATAATGAAAACACCTTCTGACTCCTGGAGAATGCAGTGTGCAGTGAAATCCTGAATTCATCAACCAGTTTCTTTCAGTCTTGAGTTTCAGAAGGGCAACCTGTTTTCAACTCTACTTCTGCTTGTTTTTATTTTGAATGCTGAGTCTGTTACAGATTGTGTGGTCCAAGGTTAATTTCTGCAACCTTTGATGTGTTCTCATTGCATATGCACAACAATGAAGGCTATAAATAGCATCACTCTGTGGAGCTTCCTTAACACAAGGAATTTGTTGCACTGTGATATGAAGAAAGGTTCTCTTGCACTTCATAAATCAGGAAACAAATTAATAAATGTAAAACACTTCCAGAAGGACACTTGGCACTTACCTTTCAGCAGAAGCCCTATAAAAGCAGCAGTTTTTGTCTTGCTGTCCCTCTGTGATTTCCCCTCATCCTGTCCCACCACAGCCATGTGTGCCATCCCATCATCTCTGGATGCAGCTGATAACCTTGAATTCCACATCTTTCCGTTTATTTTATTCCCTTTTGCTTTGTCATGCCTGGTGTGGTTGGGCAGCAGGGCTTTGAGCTTCCTGAGGCTCAGCACAGAACTGCTGCTGCATCTCTCCCTTCATGGTGAGTGCTCTTATACAAAAGCCTGGCAAAGCTGTGGCACTTCTTCCTGTGCAAAATGTAGGAAGTAGCCAAGGCAACTGTGCTTTACTGAAGGGTGGGTGTGTGTTTAGTGTAAAACATGTTCAAAACATTGCAGGGTGGGAGCCCTCAGAGTGGAGTGGTCTGTGCTGGGCTTGGGGTGCATTCTGTCATGCTGGGCTTTGTGGGATGGATTTCCTGGCTGTGCTGGGTGCAGCTGTGTTTGGGTGTTGTCTCCCCCAAAATCAGGTTATCTGAGCACCTGATGCAGAGGAACAAGCTGGGGAGGGACCCAGCTTTTAGGAGTTTGGTTCTTGCAGTGCATTTATCTCCTCAGCTCTGCTGGGCCAGCTCTGCCCCACGGTTTTGGCGTTCTGCCCCTTGCCCCAGGCTGGCCACTGGAGCAGAGAGCTCTCCTTCAGCAGCCCCATGCCTTCTGAGGCCTTCCAATTCCCCTCTAATCCTTGCTGGCTCTCCCTTTGCTGCAAGGGGCATTTTGGAGGTGTTGGGAGCTGGGTCAGGAGCAGTTGCTGCTCCAAGGGGAGTGGGCTTTCAGGAAATCAGATGCTTCCACAGCTGCCAGAGTCAAACCCAGCCCTGCTCTGGAGCTTCCCAGCCCTCCTTTCTGTGAGCTTGGAGCCTTGCCATGCTCCAGAACAAACTCCATGAGCGCAGGGAGCCTTCCATGGCGGGACTTTGCCCGGCAGAATCCCTGGAATGCCTTTGAAGCAGCTCTCTGTCTGCTTTGCCTTGCCCTGGCAGTGCAGAGGGGATGGAAATGGTGCTGGAGATGGAGCCCAAAGGACCCACCAAGCCCTTCCAGAAATAACAAGTGGTTGAGTGTGGTTAACTCCCACTCAGTGCTCAGTCCTTGCTAATTGTCAGTGTCCTTTGTGGAGGAGGAAAACTCCATGGACAGAGAGCTGGGATGCCAGGGAAGAGGAATTCTTTGCCAGAGGTGTGGGGTTTTTATTGTTGATTTTTTTTCCTTTTTTTTTTTTTTGGCTTCTGCCTTGTGTTAGTATGTCCTGAGGGGTTTTTCAGAGTTGTAGTTGGCACTGGGTGTGCAGTCAGCAACGTGAGGAGCTTTTTTCAACTGCAGTTGGTGTTTACAAGGAGAAATCCATAGGAAAGTTGGGGGTTTGGATGGAAATTTTCCCCCTAATAAAACCTTCCAGTGCTTTGCCCAGAAAACTTGCAGTGTGAATATGCTGTTTGTGAAGATCAGGCTTTTTTGTCCTTGCTGTTCTCACTGGCCAGAGGAAATCTTTTGGCTTCACAGGGCATCATCAGAGCCCCTGAGCTGGGAGCTGCAGGGGGAATTAAGGCTCTCTGTGGACCTTAGAAAGGAGTTGTGAAAACTGAGTCTTTTCTACCAGTTTTGCCTCCAACTCTGGAGTTTCCACTAAAGCAAATATATTATTGTTTTAGGCTGCTGGGATTTAGAACATACATAAATAAACACAGAAGGATGCTGGAAGAGTCTGACCAGCTTGGCAAGTAGAATCATGGAATGATTTGGGTTGGAAAAGACCTTCAATCCCATCTCATTCCACCCCATTGCCATGGGCAGGGACATTTCCCACTAGGCCAGCTTGCTCCAAGCCCAATCCAGCCTGGATTTGGACACTTCCAGGGATGGGGAATCCACCAGTGGGTTATGGGTGGGGAGAGAGGGGTGTGTGAGTATCTGAGCTCATAGAAAGGAATAGATTTCTGTATCAGCAGTGTGTAGTAACCAGCTTGATAAAAGTGCAGTGGAAACAAGCTGTAGGTAGGACTAAAAAAAACAGCAGTCTCATTCCAGCAGTGCAAGTATCCTGTTTTTCAGACATGGCTGATTAGAAATAGAAAAACTGGCCCCTTTATTTCATCAGCTTAAGGATGGAATAACAGTATAAAGGCAGCACTGCTCGTTGTTTCAGTGCTGATCATTCCTGGCAGAATTCTCTCTTATCAGCAATTTAAAACCACACATTTGGGATTGAAAACCTTTTATGTTTGCTCCCGTGGACTTCTGAAGAGTCGTTGTCTCTAAAGATAAAATTAGAGAGCTTGATAACTTAAAGGGTGGAGGAAAGCAAACAGAATTATTCTGGAATGGAGTGTCATAGGGAATATGTGACTTCACCTTTTAACAACTATTTTTGGTGGTTTTAAATATTTAAAAGCTTACCTGCAGCTGCCACAGCTCTGTGCTTGCCAGCCCTGAGAAACGGGGGAGTCTGTGGGTGGGGACTGGGCTCTGGTTCATCTTCAAAGCAATTTCTGCTGGGAATGAGGCCTTGTTCTAATTGTGGGAGCTGGAGATGAAATGTGCTGCTGGTGTGCAGGGAAGGAGCTGTGATTGCCTGAAAGTTCATTCTCAATGTCCACAGCCAAGGGCGTGTGAGCTGGGGGCTCGTTTTTTCCAAGTGACACTTTCAGGTAAGGCTCATTGCTAAAGTGGCTTTGGAAATGAAAGTTCTCTTCCCTGCTGCTGGAAAACTCTGAGGCAGGTGGCAGCTGGTCTTGTGGAGTTTGCAGAGCTCTTTATAGCTGTCTGAAGTTATTAGATGAAGGTTTTCTTTAAATCCAGATCCATTAAAACATGTGCAATGAACTGAATGCTGAATTCAAATGAGGCAATTATTCTGGCAGTAAAACTTCTGACTAAGGCATAATTTTGTTATGTAAATTATAACTTTTCAACCTTAAATGGTATTGTTGGCTTAGCCAGGGACTAACTGAAACATAGGAAATATAACCTTAAACAAGAAATCTGTAATAGGTGAGGCAGAACTTCACCCTTTGTCTTTCTCCATGGACCAGAAATAGCTGGGAGCAGCTGAACCAACTCTGCTGGCTGAACATGTCCCCTGAGCCTGTTGGGGTAACCAGTTTGGGTCTGGTTTTATTCACATAATCCCTGCTCTCACCTCCATTTGCAGCTCCTCTTAATGAAGGGTGTTGAGCTGATTGTCCTGCTGGATTCCTCCAAACTGCTTGAAGAAAGCCTTTTAAAAAACAAGCTCAGCTCATCTTTCAACCACCTTGGCACAAAACTCATGAATGAAATTTGATCTCCTGCTCCTGGCTCAGGAGATTTCAGCATGCAAAGTCGTGTTTTAATTGCATTCACCTCTTCTCCCCAGGGTACGGTGGCGAGCAGCCACTGGAGCTTTTCTCTCCCTAGTCTGGGAAATGTCCTTCTGGGAGGGAAGGGAGGGGAGGGGAAGGCTGCAGGCACTGTTCTCTGCAGCACTTTGCTGCAGTGCTTCACCTGCTGCTCTTCTGGGCTGGGCTTTGGCCAGGTCACCTCAGCAGCCTGACCCTGCTTCGCTGCGAAGCACAGCCAGAGGGAGGCAGCCCCTGTGAAAAATGAGGCCAAAGCCAACTCCAGCAGCCTCATTTTCCCATTTTTCTCTCCATGCAGCTATTCCAACGCCCCGAAGTTCTATTTTTATGAGATTATTTTAGCTTTTAGCATCCGACTGAGGAGGCAAACAAAGTAGCTCAGTTGCATTTTGCAGAGGAGACTAAACTGGGAGGTGACCCAATTCCAAGGAGCTGGAATTGGCACACAGGCAGAGAATTAACCCAGGGCTGGGTGGGTGTGTGTGTCTGCAGCACTGGGATCTCTTACCCACAGTCTCTAGGTGGGATGCAGGTGGTTTTGGCATTGTCTGGTTGCAAGAGCCAGGGGATGATCTCCCTAAAAAATCCAGAGGGAAGGAACATGACATCTGCTTTTCCAGCAGCTGCTTCCTGGCCTTCAAAGCCCTGCTTGGACCACAGAGGTGTAGAAAGGTGAGCTGAGCCCTTCCTCTTGATGTACCTGCCCAAAATCTCTGTCTGTGCCCCTTGTTGTCACTGGAGCCAGAAGGAGGAACCAGAGAAAACAGTCTTCAGCTGCTTCTAGTCCTGGAGCTTCCTCTTTCTGGGCAGCATCACTTATAAATTTGTTGGACTTTATAGACCAGCAAATTGAGGTTTTTAGTTAAAAGCTGGTTTTAGGCCAGACACCTACAAAGTTGCCACACTTAAGCAACTCTCTTGGTGTTGTCTCTCAAGGGGAACACGTTCAGTGCCTCAGTGTGTCTGTGCCAGCTCACGATGAACGTGGCTCTGAACCTGCTGCTTTTCACTCCTGAGCACAGATCATCCCTGAGGAGGAGGCCTTTGAGTGCAACAACCCAAAGATTACCGTGGAAACATAACCTGTAGTTAGTTGTGTATGGATGCTCCTGGGAGTCTGCTGTGGGTGCACCCTGTGTGCAGTGCCCTGGGCTCTGCATTCCTGAGCTCTGAAGGGAAGGTGCCTGTGTGTGAGGTGTGACAGGACAGAGGGGTCTGGGGCTGCTGCTGCACTGCCAGCAGCATCCAGGGGGTCCTTCACAGCTCTGCAATTCCTGAGTGTAAAATCCCATCCTTGGGAGTGGCTGTCCTCAGCTGGATGGCACGCTGCTGTCACTTTGCGGGGACATTGATGGGTACATAAGGACTCTTATGGGAAAGTCACCAAATGTGCCATTATCAGTGTGCTGAAGGAAAGGTTTCATTGCCCAGAGAAGCTGTGGCTGCTTCATCCCTGGAAGTGTCCAAGGATGGGTTGGATGGGACTTGGAGCAACCTGAAATAGTGGAAGGGGTCCTGCCCGTGGAAGGAAGTGGAACAAAATGAGCTTTAAGGTCCCTTCCAGCCCAAACCACTGTGTGATTTTGGGTGATAGGAGGAGATTAGATATCCCTTGGGATCTCTGATTAATATAATTACTCTTGCTAATTTCTCTTTTGAGCTTTAACCACATTTTATCTACTGAAAAGAGCGTGTGTGGTGGCTGATGTCCAGATAAAGCCTGTGACCCGTGTGTGCCTTGCCTTGGATCAAGGAATGAGCAGGCAGAAGGATGGCTGTAGCTCAAGAATGAACCACTAGCTATGTTTTCACAACTGATACAACTTAAACTGGAGGATTTCTCCTTGCAACTGCTTGGAAACAGATTTCTCTAATGGGAAGTTCTCTCCTGCTGCAGGAAGTTCTTCAAGGGTGGATATTGCAGCCTTGGTGGCTCTTTTCCTTTCTCATGTGGTTCCTCTTGAGGTGTGGGCTGGTGCCTGCTCTGGGCCACCTTCTCTAATTCCAGACAGGCATATTTTGCAACTATAACTTCTTCCCTCTCTGTTTTTCCAGGGTTTCTGGTATGCACTTAAAGCCATATCTCAAGTTACAGAAGAAAGAGCGATCCCCAGAAATAAGCCAGGATTCCCTTCGAGGCCACCAGGGACCAGCGCAAGGAGAAAAATTCACCAACTGCACCAAACTGAGCGTTTTCCCAAAACCCTCCCTGGTGGCTCCATCTCAAAAGCTTCTGGGGATTATTTATCCAAATACTATGTGCAATATGAACGGGAAGGGCCCGGCGGACGCTCCGAGCGCGAGGGAGAAGAAGAACGCTCTGTCTGCCACGATCCACCAGGGAGAAGAAGGAGAGGGACCTCTGGATGTGTGGGCTGTGGTGAAACCTGGCAACACCAAGGAGAAAATCGCCTTCTTTGCAGCCCAGCAGTGCAGCGGCGGCAGCAGCACCCGCACGGGCTCCATGAAAATCAAGAGCACGTGGGACATCGACGGGAGGACGGCCAAACGCAGGAAAAAATCGGTGGATCTTAAAAAAGCCAAAATCCAACTGGAAAGAATGAGGGAGGCCAACTCCAGGTGCTCGCAGCCGGAGCCGTTCGCCTGCGGCATCGAGCACTGCTCGGTGCACTCGGGCAGCGACGGCGCCGAGGGCGCCTTCCCGGGCCGCTCGCTGTCCGTCATCGAGATGGTGGCGTTCCTGGAGCAGCGCGCCAGCGCCCTGCTGGTGGACTGTGCCAAGAGCTGCCCGGGCAGCAGGCTGAGCCCCCAGCCCAGGCCCGCCGTGCCCGGCCCCGAGCCCTCGGCCCTGGGCGAGGCGGAGCCGCAGGGCGAGCCCGTGCGCGTGCTGGACATGGTGGCCAGGCTGGAGTCCGAGTGCCTGAGGCGGCAGAGCGAGGCCGGGAGCCTCTCCCGCAACAACAGCTTCCGCAGGAACGTGGGCAGGGTGCTCCTGGCCAGCAGCACCCAGCCCGAGGGGGACCTGGGCAAGGGGGGCCCGCCCCAGGGACAGGCAGGGGTGGCAGGGGATGGCTATGGGGGTCGCTGCGGTGACACCGAGCTCTGGGATGGTGGCGCCTCTGCCCCGCAGCCGTTTCCTTCGGGGCTGGATACCCGCGTGGGGAATGTGAGTTCGGGACTTGCCCAGGCGGTGTTGGCCATGACAGCTGGCAGGAGTGACACTGACACACGGATGGAGCCCCCCAGGGCCCTGCTGGCCCCGTGTCCCTCTGCTGCCAGGCTGCCACCGGATCCCCTGCAGAGCAAGAGCGCGACTGTTGATTGTACGTCCAAGGAGCCTGGAATTTTCCCAAAGCATCCTGCTAGGAAGGAGCCCTTGTGCATCAGTATATCGGTCACCAAGACAGAGGAAGGGTGCAGGAAGGAGAAGCTCTCTGGTTCTGGTGAGGATTCACTCCCAGGGAGGCTGTTTTTCCTCCAGGGTGAGCAACCTGCTGCTCAGGAGCAAGAGCCACGGCGGGAGGGTCCCCAGGAGAAGCCAGGGGAAGTAGCCCAAAACGAGGATGAGGATGCTCTGGCATCTGGTAGATCGTGTGTCACAAGCAGTGTCCCTACAGAGCCATCAGCCCCTTCTGGCCCTGCCACAGAAGGAGCTTTGCAAGTACTTGATGCCTCCTGCCTAAAGCGGCAGGTTTCTCATGACTTTCTGGAGACCAGGTTTAAAATCCAGCAGCTTCTGGAGCCTCAGCAGTACATGGCCTTCTTGCCTCACCACATCATCGTGAAGATCTTTGGGTTGCTTCCCACCAGGAGCCTGGTTGCCCTGAAATGCACTTGCTACTACTTCAAGTTCATCATTGAGTACTACAACATCAGGCCGGCCGACTCGCGCTGGGTGCGCGACCCTCGCTACCGGGAGGATCCCTGCAAGCAGTGCAAGAAGAAATACGTCAAGGGGGACGTGTCCCTGTGCAGGTGGCACCCCAAGCCCTACTGCCAGGCTCTGCCCTACGGGCCTGGCTACTGGATGTGCTGCCACCGCTCCCAGAAGGGCATCCCTGGCTGCAAGCTGGGCCTCCATGACAATCACTGGGTGCCCGCCTGCCACAGCTTTAACCGCGCCATCCACAAGAAAACCCGAGGAGCTGGAGCAGAGGTGGAAGAGGAATATTAGTGCACAAACACTTTCCTGCAAGATTGAGATTGTTTGGGAGAGGAGGAGGAGGAGGAGATTCTCATGCCTTGTGCTGTTTACAGTGTATATAATTGTCGTGATTTGTTTTTTTTTTCCCCCCCACAGGGCTACGAAACTGCACATACTCAAACACAAGAGCCTTTACCTTTTAGATTAAAAGAGAGCTTTTAGTCCATCTCTGTAAATAACACTATAAAAACTAATTGTACATACAGAGTCTACAGCTGGCTGAACAAGGTAACCCCTACAATGCAGCTATCCCAGTGTTGCGGCTATAGGTGTGTGTGTTTTTAAGTGTCTTGTTTCAAAATCTGTATATCCTGTATAATATATGAATGTTTCTGAGAAGAAACTCTAAATAGGTAAAGGTCAACTTGTTTAAAGAAGCTGCAGACAACTTAACTGGACAACCTGAAACTTAGACTATAGAACAGATCCATTATAGTAGCGTGGCGGTGGATTAAAAAAGAAAAGAGAGGAATATTATTGTATAGTCAGAATATAAAAAAAGTTCTTGTCTACCTTACCCATGTTGTCTGGTTGGGTTTTTTTTTTTTTTTTTACACATAAATAAAATGTGCATTCTAGATCTGCCTTACCAGACTTTCTCTTGTAAGACTTTTGCCCCAAAATAAAAAAATGCTGTAAAACACGTGGCAGAAACTTGGTGCTGTGCTGTAGTTCAGACGTGCAATGTGCTTTCTCTAGGAAACCTCTCCTCCTACTAACAAAGGAACAAACCCCCCCAGATCTCTAGTACTTGGAGAACTCCCTGCTGTAACAATCACAGATTCCAGCTTTTCCTTCTGCCTGCAGCAGGGGCTCCTTTCATTGGGAATTCTGGTGCTGGGTGCACTTTCTGCTCCTCCTGCTCCTTGGCTCTTTGTGGCACCTGCCGTGTTCCCTGGATGCTCGAGGCTGGAGCGTGGGTCCAGCAGGATGAGTGTGGAGTTGCCTTGGCTCTGTGATGTGCTGGAAGCTTCCCTGTCAGCTGTGTGTGGAATTTTTCCCTTGCAGAAGACTCCTTGCCGTGCTTTGCCTGCCCTGCTGCAGCCCTGGCCTCTCCCAGGGCCGTGGGTTGGTGCTTTCCAGGGGAGTTCGGAGCTTTGCGTGGGATGAACGGCGATTCCTCGCGCTCACAACGGGAGCACAGAGTGTGGCAGAGTTTCCCTGGATCCCTTGCTGTCCTGCAGTGCTGTGAGCCAGCCCTCAGCCTCCTGCTGCAGCCCTGGCAGGGTGGATGGCTTGGAAGGCTGGGGATGGGGCCTGGCCAGGGCAGCAGCTGCCCAGGAGCCCAGCAGAGCGTGGCAGCCCTGCCTTTGCCCTGCCACCTCCCTCCTGTCCCCTCTTGGTGCTCTTGCTGTTCCTCCGCCCTTCTCAGGGCACAGATGGACTCCTGGCTCTCACCATTCCAAATCTCTGACCTGGTGCCACCTTCCCATGGGGTCACCTCTGCTCAGACCCCAAGGAGCTGCTGGAAAGGGCAGGATGGGGTGGCCCATCCTGTTCTGTGTCCTTTGCTGCTGGATCGAGGATGGAACGCTGCTGGCTGTGGGGCCAGGCTGAGGCAGCCGCCCCCACCTGCCCCGGGCTCGCAGGGAGTGACTCACGGGTTCGGAGCATGAGGAGGACAAAAGGGTTTGAAGGCTTTTGTTCCTTCCTTTAACAGTGGGAGAAGGAAAATCAAGCCCTGACAGCCTGAAATGTGGGTTTGGTGAGCTCAGGCTTTGCAGGGAGGTTTAAAGGATGTGCTGGGTTTATATTTTGCCTTCACCTGCTCCTGCCACCCACCGGGTGTCATCCACCCCTCCCGGAGCTGCTCAGCCTCCCTGCGCTGCAGACACGATGACAAGCAGGAGGAATGAAATCAGGAATGTCACAGAAGGGTGTGGCCACCTTGTAACCGGGAAGAGGAAGAGCAGGATCGCTCCTCAACCCCCGACTTCATCCCCTAACGGGGCTCGGCTTCACCCCAACTCCCCTCTGCTCCCCCAGCTGCACCTGCACCAGCAGCACAGCCGCCCCCAGGCTGTTGTTTTGCCAAAGCCATCGGCATCAAAAGCCTTCAGCTTCATTCTGATGAGGGGAAAAGGGAAAGAAGCTGCTTTCCTGCTCCCCCGCCCAAGACTCTGGAAAACTTGAGGCTGACAGCAGCAAGGAAAGTCCCTGCGAGGCTGGAATGGAGTGGCAGAGGAAAATATTTTGTAATTAGATAAGGGGCCAGTGAGGTCATTTTACTTGGAACAGGGTGTGAGATTTTGGTCACCTTTGTTGAACAAGGGGAAAAATGAGGATACAATAATGTCATGAGGCTGTTTTGTTCCTGGAGCAGGTAAAGCCAGAGGACAATTTGCTGTCCCTACCCCATCCCTGCCCTGGGGAGCGTGGGCTGGTTTATACATCATTTATTACATTGTCTGCTGGAACTGTCCCTCCTGCACAGCATTGCTGTTAAAAATTGTTTCACAGAGCAGGATTTTACATCCAGAAATGAGTTGGTTCTGAGTGTTGCCATGCTGAGCTGCCTGCAGGCTTTTTTTTTCCTGTACCATTGTAAAATGCAGATTTCTGTTTCCTTAAGGGATGGTTCAGGGAGAAGCCAAGGTCTGATGAATGTCAGGGTTTTGAGTTTTTTTCCTAAGAAGCAATTAAAAAAAAAAAAATCCAGTGTTGGATTTACAAAGTTCAGTGTTTAGAACTGAGGATGCACCATGTGCTTGACTTCCCTGCCTGGGAGCATTTGGGGTGTCTGGACTGAATTTCCAGATAGGCCTGCAGAGAAGTTGTAACAACATTTCCATTGTCCATAAGCTTCCAGTTTTCATCAAGCCCTGGGGCTCTCCTGGCATGGACAGCCCTGTGGAAGCTGCCTGTGCTTGGGCTCTTGCTCCATCCTGGCTGTTCCTGCAGCAGCTTTTCCCTTTGCTGGGCCCTGGTCCCTGTGCAGAAACCCTGGGAAGCTGCAGCAGAGCTCAGTTCCTTGTGCTGGACCCAGGGCCTGCAGAGGCTGCCCCTGCAGCCCTGGAGCTGTTGGGAAGGCCAAGGAAAAGCTCCAAGGGCTG